AACATGCCAACACGTTGTTTCATGTGTAACTTCTAATGACCTTGAATCCCAACAGTTTTGCATTTTTATTGTATAATTTACAACAGTAAGAACATTAAGGAATTTTGATGCAAATAAAGATCAAATTAAAGGTTTACCAATACCAAGAATTGGAATTCATAAGATTTTTTAATTTCCCGGTTCTTCAAAATCACCTTTATAATACTAATAATCCTTGCATTTGATATAGCGTTCTATCATGCCTTCGAGACATCTCAAAGTGCTTCACAGCATATACTGTAAATCGAGTTCACTGTATATTTTGTGGGCGAAACACAGCAGCCAATTGTGCACAGCAGTATCTCACAAACAGTTGTAGATTAAGTGACCAATTTATTATTTTTTTTTTGACAGGGTCCCTCTCAGACAGGGTGCAAGAGGGAGTGAACGGATTTGTAGCAAGGTGTCTTCCTATGCCTCATTGCTATCCAGATGTTTAGAGAGGAATCCAGAGAGACTCACCTTCAGATTACCTTTATTTTCTGCAGGGAAGTTTGTTCCTACTCTTTACTTCCCAACAGTACAGTGAAAATTCAAAAGTTGTTGTGTGAAACTTTGTCCTTCCACTTCATGCAAGTGGAAATTTCAACAGACCACCATAGTTTTATAATACCTCATTACCTAACCATATTGTTCTGAATATAAGGTGAAGGTTTTCCTCCCTAAATGATAGTTTAAAAATTGCTACTCAGCTTATATTTTGCAACTAACCAGATCAATAGTTGAACAATCTCAAATAACTCATTCATGCACTGAAAGTCCAAGCTCTTGTAGTGTATATGTTTTTTTTGTCAGCTTTTGACACATGTGGAAACCTATCACCATGTTTACAAATATCCAAACCAGACTGAGAGTTCCACTTATGTATGCTATCTAATCATAAAAAATTAATAATTCTTGCATTTCACAATGGGATGATTTCTGAAAATGCTTCACAAAATTTATTGTAAAGTGTGTTTTGTAGTCGAATTTGGCAGCCAATTTGCGCACAGCAATGTCCCACAATTCATGTTGCTTCCCAAAGGACCCTCAATTACACTACTTTGTCTAGGTACCAGTTTTGTTTTACTGGGTGAGAATTCAACATGTATTACTCCAGTTGGACGTCAAATGTCTGTTTACTAAAACCAGATATGTGTAACACTCCATGTCCAGCCCATAGTTTGGATACACACACAGCACACAATATCCTTGGCTGCTAGGTCCAGTCTGTCACCCTGAGTTGCACCTCGTTGCTTAGACTAGCATTTGAAAACTATGTGGTGTATCTTGCCACAGTTATTGCATGTGATCCCACTCCTCTGGGATGTAATAGAGGAACTATTTCCTCTGGTGGGGAATCCACAACAAATGGGTATAATCTTAAAATTAGAGCTAGACCATGTAGGAGTGAAATTAGGAGGCAGTTTTTCATCCAAATAGTAGTGAAAATCTGGAACTCTCTCCCCCAAAAGGCTGTGGATGCTGGATCCATTCACATTTTCAAGATGGAGGTAGATAGATATTTGTTAGGTGAGGGTATTAAGGGATATGGGGCAAGGGTGGGTAATTGGACTTGGGTTACCGATCAACCATGGTTACAGATCAGCTTGAGGAGCTGATAACCTACTCCCGTTTCTAGGTTTCTCCTGCAGTGATGTTCCGACCTCAACCAGAGGCCTCAACCCAGATGAACAGTGGTAATCCTCCCGCCTGGCCCCCGTTTGCCTATTGAGCTGTGATCATCACTCAGCAATCCACTCTCCCTAGTTACATGAGAGAGGTTACTGGAGACTGCTAATTTATAACCCACAGCTCCGCTGCCAACAGTCACAATTTTATGATTGTCCACTTATCTCTTATCGATTGACCTCAAGTAGCCCCTTTCTCGGCCACTAACAATTCCAGTTACAGCTGGCTTTGCTCTGTCCAAGCCTACCCTACGAGTTTATACAGGCACAAACAATCAAGCTCAGACTAGCTAGGGCCAACAATGAAACACTGGGAAATTGCACTTCAGTCTCCATAAAATATGGCCTGAAATATATCAGCAATCAAACCAGCTCTTTTTCTAATTAAAGAATGAGCTTTCAATTCCAAATGCAAAACAAATATTATAAATTTGTATACAAATTTAAATTATTTTAGTTATTAATTTTAAACACAATGGAAATAAATGGAAAGTTGTACAGTATCGTACTGTACAGTATTTTTTCTTCACAATACAAAAACAACCATTTCAATCGAGCGCTACAGTTTTAACCAATCAGACAGGCCTCTTCTCTCTCTCCCTCGATTCCTTGTCTGATGTTCTTATCTGTGTTCTCAAGTTTGCCTCCCAAGGGAAATTATTTTGGGAGTATGCCCACTCAAGGTAAAAATCTTTGATCTTAGCAATTCACTGATCTGAGTTTTGGGAAGTTTCAAAGAACTTATTCAGTTTGCGATGTGAAAGAACTTGACCATCTTAAAGCCTCAGCTAATTTTCACCTGAGTGTGAACTGACTGTGGAAGACAATCTTCCAGATGTAATAGAACAACTACTGTTGCCTGCACAATATTTTTAGACATACACAGACACACAGTGTCTTAACGGTTAACAAAGAAATGCAGAATAGCAGCTAAATCTGAAATTAAGAAAACAATCAAATGATATGAAAATGAGTCAATTACTGTAAGTGGATCAGAAAAGCAGTTTATAGAAATTCACATTTGTGAATTAACCAATGAAAACATGTATGTGATTTCATGTATTTACAATATGTGCTTATGAAATATCTGACCCAACTGTGCACCAGAATAGTTAAAATTATTCTATAATATCAGCTTCATTTCTCATAATGTGTAGAACACTGCAAATATGAACTTACACCATACTGTTCTGTGCAACATCATGCCTAAAATCTTATAACTCATTTGTAATATTATTATAGGAATTGAAGCTACCTGGTCTTCACACCCATTAATGAACGCTGAGAAAGGATTTATCTTTTTATAGTGCTTTATCACCTTATATAATTCCTAGATTAGACACCTTCTCTACATGTCTTTCTCGTTAACAAAATTACATTTGTAATGCGCCTTTCACATCGGGAGGTCGTCCCAAGGCGCTGGACAGACAGCGTTTCGGACCCAAACTGGGGGTCGGGGTGGGTGGGTGTCATAATGGGAAGCAGGGAGATCGAAAGCACGGTCGAAGAGGAGGATCTTGAGATGGGTCTTGAAGGAGGCAAGGGCGGGGGTGAGACGGAGGGACTGTGGGATGGAATTCCAGAGGGTGGGGCCAGAGTGGCAGAAGGCCCGCCCACCGATAGTGGGGCAAGCGAGGCAGGGCACGTGGAGCAGGCCGGAGCCCGCTAAGCAGAGGGAGCGAGCAGGAGGGTAGGGGGTTAGGAGGTCGCAGAAGTAGGGGAGAGCAAGACCATGGAGGGCTTTGAAGGTGAGGACCAGGATCTTGAACTGTATCCTCTGTGTGATGGGAAGCCAGTGGAGTTGGGTGAGAATGGGGGTGATAGGTTCACGGAGCCTAGTGCGGGAGAAGACAAGGGCTGCAGAGTTCTGGATGATCTGCAAGTTTTTGTCAGTTTTCTTTTAAATGACAGCTAATATAATTTAACGTGTCGTGTATGTTTCTCTTCTTGTTCTTCCAGCCTTTTTTTTATATTGAAACTTAACCGATTCTAGTACTGCAACTATCAGCTCATACATACAATATGGCAATGATCAGAAACATGCTTTCAAGGTATTGCATATCAATGCCTGCATGCTTCTGTGTCTGAAAATATTTTGATGTTCTTTCTAATGGATCAATGAATGACCATAGAGACGGGGTGGGGAACTAGTTGTGAACATTGCATGTTGGATACCACACGAATTACATTCTTACACTATTGTCACTCTTACACTATTGTCTTGTTTTATATATCATAACCAATAAGGAAGACTTTCAATGAAAACCCTAAAATTCTGAGATTCTACAATTGTGCAACCTCAAAATGCCCAGCAACACAGGGCAGTCAAAAAATATACACCACTAACCCTACAAACAAGATCAAAGGAGGCATTTAATTGAGCTTTGAGCTATGTATATTCTGTCAGCATTCACAATTGTTGTTAATATTTATAATAATAATAATCCTTGCATTTGATATAGTGCTTTTTAAGTTTACTAGTGCTTCAAAGAATATACTGTAAAGTGAATTGACTGTATATTTGTGGGCGAAACGCGGCAGCCAATTGTGCATAGCAGTGTCCCACAGACAGTCGTGGATTGAGTGACTAAATTTATTATTGTTTTTTTTTCTTGAGGGATTATTATCAGGTGTGTGGAGTAAGGAAACTTGCCCAAGGTTTCGCACTGCCGGGAATCGAACCCAAGTCTCTCGCTCGCGAGACGAGTGCTCTAACCACTGAGCTACAGGACTCTTATAGCTGTATAGAGGAGAAAAGGGGAAATATTATATGATAAATTATATATTCATATTTCTGAATGTATCAAATCCTTTTGGTACATCGATAAGGATATCACACATAATATAATTAATTTCAGGAATAGATTTCAGTTATTTTCTTATTGGTGTTCACTTAAATTATTATATCACAGTGAATTTCTCACACTACTGGAAACAATTTGAATGAGATGATCTACACTGATTTTGTTTTGAGTTTGTAAATGTGATTTCGATATTGGTCCTATTAGGTTTAACAGCTCTGAAAGCATTACTAATCAATTGACAATAAAAAAATACATTGATTTCTTTGAATAACATATTTTCCTCTTACTGACAGACAGCAAACAACCTATTATGTCAAGATTCATCCAAACAGTGGTGACAGTGATACACAGTCCTCCAGTAGACTCTGTGATGGGGGAATTAATACCTTATCAATTGTGCTCGTATTCAGCTGATGTAAGTATATTCAATGTTTCTCATGAGGAGGAAAAATGGCTATTTTGCATAACAGGGAAACATACTGCAAAACAGATTCACTAAGATTTATTTTCTAGGCATTTAAAGAAAATTAGAAAACATTATTTCAGTAAAAGTTCTCTTGCAAGTTTGTGACAGTAATAGATCAAATTATTCTGGCTAAACACTATCAGAAGTTGGTGCAGAACAAAAATTAACATTTACATGCAACTGCTATTCACAGATAAGAAAACAGTTCATCTCCTCTCTTTTTTCTCTTTCATTATCTTTTTACTTTCCTCTCTCCGTCTTTTATTGACTGGATTGCGGGGATCATATATCTCAAAGGTATCTTCATCTTGTATGGTTGCATCTTTCACCTTTCTTGTTTGGTCGTCAAACTGAAGGACATGGGACATCCTAGAATAGAGGAAAACAAGAAAACACTGACGATTATATGAATCATGAATGATTTACTATTCACATCTAATCAATATAGTAGAAAGTAGAGCATTGTCGATATTTTTTAAAAATGCATGGATCTTGTTCAGTACTGTAACATAAAATTCTAATGCTGAGTTCCTGTGCCTACATAGATACTACATGCTGACATTTTCATTTTGAAGGCGTATGGCTTAATAATAATCCTAATATTTATCCTTACATTTGGTATAGCACCCTTCATGTCAGGAGGATGTCCCAAAGCACTTCACATGATATACTGTAATCTGGAGTGCCTGTGGTTTTGTGGGTGAACACATCAGCCAATTTGCACACAGCAATGTCCCACAAATAGCTATTTATTTGGGGGATTGTTGGCCAGGCAACCTGGCCAGGAAGATTTCACAACTGCCCCAAAGGAGATCACTCTCGTGATATTTCTTCCTCAACAAGATGCACCAATAAATGCTGTACCAGTAGCGAATGGAAGATGTACGATGGATAAATTTCCAATACTTTGTTGAAATAATAATAATAATAATCCTTGCATTTGATATAGCGCTTTTCATGTCAGGAGGACATCCCAAAGCGCTTCACAGAGCACACTGTAAAGTGAATTGACTGTATATTTGTGGGCGAACGCGGCAGCCAATTGCGCACAGCAATGTCCCACAAACAGTCGTAGATTGAAAATGACCAATTTATTATTGTTTTTGGTTTTGGAGGGATTATTATTAGGCGTGTGGAGTAAGGAAACTTGCCCAAGGTTTCGCCCTGACCTGCCTGGAATTGAACTCAGGTCTCTTGCTTGCAAAGCGAGTGCTCTAACCACTGAGCTACAGGACTCCACAAATCCTTAAGCCATAACCTGAAAATATACCAAATATTTTAATTTCAAAGCAATATCTTATATTTGGTGCAAAAGAATATACAACTTGCAATTTGGTTCTCATAACTACCTTTTCCGTAGTCATTAATGAAATAAAATTTAGGCTACAGCCAATTCTTTGCTAGTTATAACCAGCATGATAATACCATTTATAGTGCTTGCAAGAGATACCAACAGTTGTGGGATCATGTCCTAATTCATGCTAAGTGTTCCTATCAACAGCACTTGTTAATTTCATCTGAAGACCACTGGAGTTTCCAATGCATACCTCGTAATAACAATCCCTCAAAATTATTTTAAAACAAATAATTTGGTTACTGAATCCACGACTGTTTGTGGGACACCGCTGTGAGCAATTGGCTGCTACGTTTCACTCACAAAAAAGTCAATTCACTTTACAGTGTATTCTGGGAAGTACTTTGAGATATCTCAAAGATGTGATAAGGTGTTGTATTAAATGCAAGGATTATTATTAGTAATAGTAGTAACTGCTGTGGACTCCAGAAAACCTGTGACACAAAGTTTTGCCGGTAGAACAGGGTCGAGTTACAAACCCAAGATCTCATCAGAGCCGAAGTTCACACACCAGTTTTTGAGACTTGTTAACATGCATGACAAGCAGGCTACATTAACATACAAAATTGAGTCACGAAATTGTAGCAGTCACATTGGCTCTACTGGACTAAAGTCAAACAAGCAGTAATATTTTTATTGGGAGAACTTGTCATCTTAGGTGCTAATATCCTAGCGGGAGAGATGATACCAGGCTAGGCTCATTCCTTTGATAAGCTGCTTTTTGGAGAATGAACTGCAAGATCGAATTAAATACAACAGTCTACACTGATTATATTTATATGCTGCGTGAAAGAATAGAAGCAATTTGCAAGAGTAGGAGCAAGTGTTTAATAATAACAGAGTATTAATAACTTAAAGAGCTTTACAATAATTACTGTTTTGAGTCATCACTTTCTTTATAGGCAAGCATAAGAGCTGTTTGAAGCACAGCAAAATCTGATAAACAGTGGTGAATGACCAATTTATCTGGAGGATTGAAAGTGGGATACCAGAAGAAACTCCTTTCTCTTTTTGAATAATGCCCACTGGGCCTTTAACATCTGCCTCTTCTATGGTTCAACACCTCATCTGAATGATGTCAATTTCCAGTTCCATGGAGGGTCAACCCATTCCATTGAACTTTAGTTGCATCCACTTTATGCTGATTTACTCAGACGGCAATTGTTCCTGTAGTAATGATGAATGCTGAATAACAAATTCACCCATGAAATCAATAGCATCAAATGCTTTGTCTATTTGTGTGAGTTCAAGTTATAAATTTAACTAAAAGGAATAGAAGACCAGAGAGATCTAGGGAATAACATATATAAATCTATAAAGGTTAAACCCATTATCCATTGCCTTTTGGGGCAAGAGTTCCAGATTTCCACAACCATTAGTGTAGGAAAAATGGTTCCTGGTTCCACTCCCAACTGGCCTTAATTTTAAGATTATGCCCCCTGGTTCTGGATTTCCCCACCAGAGGAAATAGTTTCTCTGTATCTACCCTATCATTTGAATACCTTGATTAGTAGATTGCTCCTCAACCTTCTGACATCCAGGGAATCAATTTAAGATAATTACCAAAGAAGTAAAGGGGGAGAGAGAGTTTATTTACACAGAGAGTTGTTAAGTTGTGGAATGGTCTGCCAGGAGTGGTGGTCAAGGCAGAAACCATATTAGCTTTTAAGAGGAAACTAGATAGATATCTAAAAATGAATAATTTACAGGGATATAGGGAGAAGCTGAGCAAATGGGACTGAATGGATTGGTGTTTTAAAGAGCCAGCACAGACACAATAGGGCAAATGGCCTTCTTCTGTGCTATAAAGCTCCTTGGTTCCTCAAATTGTTAAGTATCCATTGAAAATGATTCTTGCAACTCAGCTGGAAAGAGTTTGGTGAATTTTTGAGAATATCAGCCAATGTACACACAACGAAAAATGAGAAACAAAAATTGTACCAAAATAATTTAAAAAACCTCAAACCTTGAAGGACTGCAAAGAAATTTTCAAAATAGAAGAAGTCTTTTAAGTACTGACCACTAAGCTGCCATAATTCACAGAGCATGTTGAATTTTGCAAAGACCTGAAATATTCCATACTCTATAAAAGTACACAAAGATCATTGTTACATACAATTTTTCTAGTCTTCTGGTTTCTAAATTGTTTTGGCATTGATTCAGCTGACAATGGCCTTTTCAAATTAACATTCTCCAACTATGTTTTAAGCACATTCCTGCTGTTCTGAGTTTAAAAGGTATGTTTGCCATATTACTGTATTAGTAATCATTTCCCTGTGCCATACCAATGTCATTTTGCTTTACAAAAGAACCCACGACCGATTATTTTAAAATGTTTGCAATTATTCATAGTATTTATTTGTCACTTTCAACAAGTATAAATGTTGTATAGTGCCAAATATTTGCATGTACAGGCTACACTTTAAATGTCATGACTGCATTCTCGATGGCTCTAGGCTCCTGCTGTGGCAGTAGGCAGGCCTGTTAATTTGTCTAGCAGTCACACTGCCTACAGCTTCCAAGTTTCATCTCCTAGAATTATAGCTCCTTAAGAAATCCTACTGTGTTACACATGCTTATCGGAATTGGGTGATGGTTAATTTTGCAATACTATGACACGCTGCCTCAAACCACACAGTTTGTTTTCTTTGCTTTTGAAGAAAAAAAATCAGTTCCTTTGAGAGAAGATTTAGACAGACACAGATGGAATAGTTTACACTCGTGGCCCAGACTTGACTTCCAGTGTCTGACCTGCTATAACCTATGTTCTGTTAGCGGGCCTCAAGAGTCATTGAATGCTTCTTGTTCTAAACCTCCCACCAGTGCTTTCTTCACTGCTTCCGTTCAACCATCCCCTCCTGTGTTTCATTATGTGCTCCATTGCCTTCCCAATGTTGTCTATGTCTCTTCATAAGCAGTAATGTGAATGTTTAGCTTAAATCCTTTAAGTAAAGTTACTTTGCATGTAAATGTTATGTTGTTATTTAAGAAACTGTTGCATGACTGGCTCTTCAATAGCATTTAGAAAGACTAATATATTCAGTAGAAAAACATAATGTTCGCCTACAAAATACACAGTCACTACACCTTACCATAAACCCTGTTAAATAAATCACGGTAATATACTAGCGAAACAGAGTAACAAAAGCAGCTGTGTCATCAGTCAGTCAGCCACCTATGGCCCAAATCCTCAAGGTTTTAGCTTTCAGACTATTGCTTAAAATGTAATATTCTGCAGAATTTTGGAAAATTCTTGAATTTTTACCTAACTTTGAAGCTGGTTTTCTACAGTTCCTTTTAAGAACTGATGAGCACAGTTTACTGCAGCACACAATTAGTATCGACTTAGGGGCAGTTTTATGTTGCAGATCCAATCCTACAAGAAACTGGGTCGACACTTTACAAATACATTTTAAATACACTCTCTCAGGACGGACACATCCTGTTTACCTAATTCCGGTAGGTATTAAGTGCAGGTTGGCAAGAGCCAAGGCTTGGGGACCCCAGAGTGTGCGTTGGGGTATTTCTGGAGTCTAACCAGCTAAGACCATATAGTTTGCCATTGATATTGCTGTCTGGCAAGCTTTTCCGCTGCTTGTCTAGCTAGGACCACGTTAGGGCTTTGGCTTGCAGGATTAACAGTGGGATGACTCTCTGTCCCCAGTGACTGCTCTGCCCTTCCAGGTCCTGCCGATGATCCAGGCTGGCTGTGCTGCCATCAGCAGTGCCCTGGAATACTGCGCACCCGCTAGCAAGACCATCACAGAGGGCTGGCTCGATTCCAACATTCGTTTGTCAGACATGCCACCTTGGAGTCAGTTCAGCCCCAAGGAGACCCGGCTTACCTCCCCCCAAGGAGGATAGCCACAAGTTGGTCGCTCGATAGCAACTTAGTTGGCCTAAAAACATACTTTGCATAAGTGCAGAACGCTGGGTAGTAGCTTCTCTAAATGCTATTGAAGAGCCATTGTTTATTGATAACAATAAAATCTATGTTGAAAGCTCTTGTACTGTC